GGTTTGGTCCCCAGGGTGGCTGGCTATGTTGGGAGATGCTGTGGTGAGGTGAGGCCTAATGAGAGAACATTGGTGATGTGCCCTGGAAAAGATTGTGGGACTCTGAGCCACTAGCTTTCTGCTGTGGTTGGAGACGCGCTTTTTGCTTTGACAAAATCATTGCCATCCATACCACAAAGTGATGCAGTTGAGTGGTAGCGCTTGCTAAACCTTTAAAACTTAAATAAAGCTTTTCTCTTTGTAAAGTTAACTGCCTCTGGTATTTCACTGTAGAAATGCAAAGTAAACTAATGTGATACCTGTGTTAGTCAGCTTTTCATCACTGGGACAAAATGCCTGAAAAAAAAAAACAACTTAGAAGAAGAAAAGATTATTCTGGCTCACAGTTACAGAGGTTTCAATACATGGTCAGCTGGTTCCATTGCTTTGGGCCTGAGGTGAGGCAGAACATCTTGGTAGGAGAATGTCAGGGAGAAAACCTGCTCACCTCATGGCAGCCAGGAAGCAGAAAGAGGGAGGATGGACTGGGGACAAGATAATTCCCTTTCAGGGCACACATCCAGTGACTTAATGCCTCTAACTTAGGCCCCAACTACTATATTTTCTACCACCTTCCAATAATGCCTTCAAAGTACTAATCCATCCAAGGATTAGTCCATTACTATATTGATGTAGTCACAGCCTGCATGATCCAATTAATTCCCAAGAGCCCCCCTCTGAACATTTTATACTGGGGTCTAAGACTTCAACACATGAGTCTTTGGAGGTACACTTCATATCCAAACCATAATATGACCAACAGAAAGATAATCAAAGGTGCATATCCCTTCAGATAATATGCAAAAGATGCATTAAGTAGTACTTAGCACTCTACTAAAAGGACATCCAGTAATTCTGTTTTATCTAAGTCTTCTATGATGTTTTTTAAGAGTCTCTTCCTTACAATCATAAGTAATGGGTCAAGATTATTTTGATTACAAATAGAAAGGTTTATTAGGTTTGGCCTGACCTTACCTAGGTTCCCCAAGAATGTTAATTAACCCTGTAGATCTCAAATTTGCTTTGCAAAAAAAGAGCCATGAAACACTGAACAATTACTAAGTATATAAGATTAATTTCTATCTGAAATTTTTCATAAAAATTCTAACATTAGACTTTTATTAAAAGGCTCTGTAACTTGCTATCCCAAGGATAGGGAACCAAACTCAAGAAATTATCCACTAGGGGGCTGGGGATGTGGCTCAAGCAGTTGCACGCTCACCTGGCATGCGTGCGGCCCGGGTTCGATCCTCAGCACAACATACAAACAAAGATGTTGTGTCCGCTGATAACTAAAAAATAAATATTAAAAAAATTCTCTCTG